GATGAGTTCACATCCTTTGTAGGGACATGGATGAACCTGGAAACCATTATTCTCAGCAAACTGACACAAGAGCAGAAAATCAAACACCGTATATTCTCGCTCATAGGCGGGTGTTGAACAATGAGAACACATGGACACAGGGAGGGGAGCGCTACACACTGGGGTCCGTTGGAGGGAAATGGGGGAGGGGCGGGGGGGTGGGGAGGTGGGAAGAGATAGCATGGGGAGAAATGACAGATACAGGTGAGGGGATGGAAGGCAGCAAAGCACACTGCCATGTGTGTACCTATGCAACAATCTTGCATGTTCATCACATGTACCCCCAAACCTAAAATGCAATAAAAAAAAAGAAAAAGAAAAAAAAAAGTGATGAAGACTAACCAAAAAAAAGACAGATTTAAAAATATAATAAAATTAACAGTAAATTTTATATCTATTTTCTACCTTTTCAAACAAATGCTGATGATTATAATAAAAATGTAAGTCATTATAATTTTTAAAATTTGAAAATAGGATGTATTAATATTTTAATGTACATCCCATGGACTTGCGCTTGACTGGAATTTCCAGGTCTAGCATGGCATTTAACACTCTCAGAAGCCCAATGAAACATGTAGACAATAAAATTCCTCCATGTTATGAATGCCTAGGACAGTGCCAGGATATATTTGCTGTCTGGTGAAGTAGGTCACCGAACCTTTGCTGTGTGCATTCCTTCTCTTTCTTGCCTTCCTTTCTTCCTGAGTTCTGATACTAGAATTCAGTATATTGTGTCTGACCACCCTAGCTGTTCTCTCAAAGCTTCCCAAATCCACTCTCCTAAGTTCCCATTTGGTGAAGATCTGGAAATTGATTAAGCAGCACTGTGAAAGAGAAAATGCTTTATAGTGAAGGCTGCCTTCTTTCTCTCTGTATTTTTTTTTAACCACATTCTTAATTTCCTTATTTTGAAGAAAAATGTTCAAGTTTCAGAATTATATTTCTAAATAGATTCATGAAACAGAAACTTGAACGGTTGAAATGTGGCTTCCTAATGCTTTGCAAAGGACACTTTGCCATTGTGTGCTTAGCATAGCAGCAAGACAGAAAAGAGTTCTGCTTACCACCCACCCCTATCCCTAGGTCTCCTGCTCCATGCTTAGGACCCGAATGCATTTCTAGTTTTCTTCCCAAATTATCCATTTGTTTGAAGATGTTTCACTAGACTGAGATTTTCTGAGCTTTCTTCCATCACAGATAACTTCTCGCCTTATCGCTGCATCTTAATTCTTTCTCTCCTACATCTAAATTTTGTACTTCAGAAAAGCACAGTAAAATCCACAGCAGGAACAAAGAAGACCTGCCAGCTTGCCTGTTTTTCCTCCTGCTTTAGAGGTTATTGGTTTACTCACCTGTACTTAGAAGCACAGCAAGGACAAGTGAGTGAATCTAAAAGATGATGAGAGTGGCATGGGCCAGAGGTGGAAAAAAAGGGAGGGAATAGGATATTATGTTTTGCAGATACCTAGATTTCTTCTGTCTTTATGGTACCTTTTTATAAGTGCTCTTTGTGGTATCTTTAAGACACTTAAGCCTTCTTCTCTTGGGTTCTAACATAATTCAGAAACCTTTGACAGCCCTGAATTTAATCCTTCCTTAACGTAAGTGCCTAGTAGAACCAAGAGTAGGCCATCTATAACTGGTTTGTGTTAAGTGCTCTTTTTCTTACTGTACCTTCTACGTTATTTCCACAATGCACTTCCTCTCCTCTTATTTAGTTATGACCATTTCTATAACTTCCAGCTTAATTTCTTCCAACATAGTTCCTTCTAGCCACTGATATTTGGAGACTGGGATTTACACCAAACTCATTATGACACAGAAAGAAAGCCTTCATACCCTGCCATGAGGCCCCAGACATAAGAGGTGCTCAGAATATTATGGAGGATTATGGTCATAATGATAATAGCAAAGATAAATAACTAAATGCAAAGCAAGCACAGAACAATGAAATATAATGTCTTCAGTGTGGTTTCAGGCAGTGTTGCATGCAGTTCTGTCAAGGACTTTGGTTTCATTTCTCAGCCCAAAATGGGGAGAGAAATTGTATTATAAAAATCCCTTTGGGTTTCATTCAAATTTTACCTATACTTATGGTTTGCCATCATATGAGAAGAATAATTTTTTCTCTAATATCCTACCTAAAAAATATACTTTAATTCAGAAAATAAAATGCTTCTTGTAGTAAATAAATCCAGTCATTACTGATAGGTATCAGACATCATCTTTGAGTGTTTACTTAGATAAAATACTACAGAAACAAGTAAATATTTATTGAATTCTGTGAATTTAGAGATGGCTAATCTTTGAAGTCAAATCACTGGAGCTTATTTAGATTCTGTCTTGATTTCCAAACAATATTCCAGGAGCTGAGTAACAACCTGGTATTGAAGGGATAACTGAGAAATGGCAGAAAGCATAGACACAGCTTGTTGGACTTTTACCTTCTTATGACAAGTGGATGAAGAGCTTGTTTTACTTGAACTCTGTAAAAGAGAAGCTCTTCATTTTCCCTAGGCCCACAGTTCAGGTGTAGTCCAAAGATCTCTGGTGTAATCAAGTTGTCCCAAATCTTGCCTTGGGGGCTCAGTCTAGCAGAGAAAGACATACTGACTTTTCCAAAAGAGGCCAACATGAGTAAGTGGACAAGGTTGTAAACATGGATACAATACAATAAAACAAAACAAAATAAAATAAAATAAATGACAGTGGCAGGCTAGTGAGGGATTCAAGTCATGCACTGACCAAAGGCTGATGGCGTCATCCAGTGTGGAAACAGTGTACTAAGAAAAAGCGTAGTTACAGAAGGTTTATAAATTGGTACATATATGCATGTGTGTGTATGCCTGCATGGTTTCACTCATATGAGCCTGTAAGCATTGTTGTTCAGTGCATGTGTCTGATCAAAACTCGATATTTCATTAGGACGTATATTTGTATGAATCTACGTATTTAAAATACTCAAGCCATTGTGTGAATACATTGTGTACCTTTGTATGTATTCCTAATCATATGCACTTATTTAAAGTGGTTATGCTTATGGTCGTTTTCTTTGGTGTCTTCCTCACAGAGAAAGAAGAGGTTCTAAAATATATCTTTTTTAATTTTAAAAAGTTTTATTAGAGTTGTTTCTTTTAAAAAATTTGTCTAATTTTAACCTTTACAAGTGCAGCTTTATTACACAGATATATTACATAATGGTAAAGTCTGGGCTTTTAGTGTAACCATCACTCAAGCAATGTGTATTGTACCCATTAAGTAATTTCTCATGTCTTACTGCGCTCCCATTCTCCCACCTTTCTCAGCCACCAGTGTTTATTATTTTGAACACTATGTCCTGGTATAAACATTATTTAGCTTTTGCTTATAAGTGAGAACATGCAGTTTTGACTTTCTGTTTCTGAGATATTTCACTTAAGATAATGGTCAACACACATATGAAAAAATTATCAACTTCATTGATCATTTTTAATGGAGGTAACTTGCTTCTAGCACTACTAGTTAAATTTACTGGCCGGGCGCGGTGGCTCAAGCCTGTAATCCCAGCACTTTGGGAGGCCGAGGCGGGTGGATCACGAGGTCGAGAGATCGAGACCATCCTGGTCAACATGGTGAAACCCCGTCTCTACTAAAGGTGCAAAAAATTAGCTGGGCATGGTGGCGTGTGCCTGTAATCCCAGCTACTTAGGAGGCTGAGGCAGGAGAATTGCCTGAGCCCAGGAGGCGGAGGTTGCGGTGAGCCGAGATCGCGCCATTGCACTCCAGCCTGGGTAACAAGAGCGAAACTCCGTCTCAAAAAAAAAAAAAAATTTACTTCTTCTTCATGGTGAATTTCACATTTTTTGTGTTTTCCTTCCAGTGATTTTCTTTTTGGCATCTAGAGTCAAGCCAAGGTAACTAGAAAGAAAAGAAATTGCTGAATCAAAACCCTCTCCTTCCCATGAATCCACATAAAGTTGTAGCAGAAAATACTTCTTCCTACATGAATATGTGAAGAGTTACTAAGTTCATTCTCTGTGTATTTAGATATATGTGATAATGTACAGAAATGAATTCATACAAACTGGCCAACTAGGACATATGTACCAACACAAACAAGCATGACACAGCAGATATATATGCTGAAAATATCAAAATATACCAAGAAAGAAAAACAGTAGTATTTATGTGTTCCTGCAGGCTTTGTTTGATATGGCTAGATACAGAAGTGAGAGAAACATCTTACAATAGCATAAAATAGCACATGATTTTCTTTCATATTTTTACCCCTTTTTACCATCATAATTAAAGGAAGAACTCAAGCTTCACCTAGTTACTCAGATAGTAGGTGATAATCCTCAATCTCAATTACATCTTTTGAAGATTACCCATGAATAATTTTGTGTTGTTTCAGTTTGATAACTTTCCTTAAACTCTCAGGGCATCTTCTCCTTTTCTTCATTTTGTGGGCATATGCTTAGTAAAGACTATCATGAAAAGTCATTACCTGGGGTGTGGATGTAGATATGTACAAACATGTTGTAAATGAATAAAATTTATAATTATAATAAAGTAACACAAAAATTAATTGAAATGTTTAAAAACTTGATTATCAATGAAATGACACTGGCCAGATAATTGAAAGATGAAAATTTTGTACTGTTTTAGATTTTTGTCCAATAATAATGGTTAATATTTATTGAGAACTGTATATTTGCCAGATACTGTATTAGAAAACTACATGAATTATTTAATATTTACAACATTCCCACAAGGAAGGCAGGTATGATCATTATTTCCTTGCTTATTCTGCAATTGAGGAAACTGGAGAACAGAGAGGTAGGTAACTTTCTCCTGGTCACACAGCCTTCTGTTGCACATCCAATTGCCTTTTGGTTGACAATCAACAGTTTATTGTTTTGCCACAGCATAGCTGAAAACAAACAAACAGAAACCTGTGGGCTTCCTCTCTCTATTCTAACTTAATCCTTGTAAAAACACCTAAGTGACTTTACAAACTGAAACTTCTTAATGATACGCTGGCGAATTTGCTTGGTCTTGATGCTGTAGATAATGGGGTTCATGAGCGGTGGTACCAGCAGATACGCATAGGACACGAGGAGGTGTACAACGCGGGGCAGATGTTCACCAAAATTATGAACAAGAGACAACCCAATTATGGGAATGTAGAAGAGCAGCACAGCACAGACATGCGAGGCACAGGTGTTGAGGGCTTGGAGTCGCTGCTGGCGGGAGGCAATGCTGAGCACGGTGCGAAGAATAAGGGCGTATGAGAGGAAGATGAGCAGAGAGTCCACAGCCACAGTGCAAGCCACAACAAAGAGCCCATAGATGTGATTGACAGTGATGCTAGAGCAGGCCAGCTTCATGATCTCCAGGTGGAGACAATAAGCATGGGCCAGCACATGCGAGCGGCAGTATTGGAAGCGCTTCAGGAGGAATGGCAAGGGGAGGATGAGGAGGGCACATCTAAGCACGGAGCTTAACCCCATCTTGACAATACATGCAGGTGTCAGGACAGTGGAGTAACGCAATGGGTTGCAGATGGCCACGTAGCGGTCAATGGACATGGATAATAGAACTGATGACTCCACTAGAGACAAGGTGTGGATGAAGTAGAGCTGAGTGAAACAGGCAGACCTGCCAATCTCTCTTGCATCAAACCAAAAAATGCCCAGCACAGTGGGCAATGTGGAAAGGCAAAGGCCTAAGTCTGTGAGAGCTAGTATGGCAAAGAAATAGTACATGGGTTCATGAAGAGTGGCATCAGTATGGATGACATGGAGAATGGTGAGGTTCCCCAAGATAACTGTCAAGTAGATGGAGCAGAAGGGAACAGAGATCCACCCATGGAGATCTAGACCTTGGAAGCCCATCAGAAAGAAAGTGGCTCACCTGCATGTTCCATGACCAGCCAGTAAGGAAGGATCTGCAGAGGGCATCGGGAAGAACCGGGCAGGGGCTGATCTATTAGCCTTTTCTATTGGATCTAGGAAGGAGACTCTTGGTGGGTGAGGAGGCAAATAGTAGTAGGCAAATCTGAAGCCTGGAACAAGGGAACATCTTGGAAGAATCTTGGACTTCAGAAAGCAATTCTAGAAAAGGGGAGTTTGGGACTTAGTTCTGAGAGATATGAGGAGAGATGTGTGTCTCTAATAGCAGGGCAATTAAGCCAGAACTTAATTGAGATGTGGAGGCAGAAGAGATGTATACCGGGTTTGAAGCACATGGAGCAAAGGAGAAAAATCTGAAATCAGCAGGAGAAGCCCATAATCTCTAGAATGAGGAAACTAAATCGGAAGGCACTCAGAGTGAGTTATGCCTGGGGGGCTTGGATTGATATGACATCTAGGTATCCAGGTCTGTTCCTGTAATATCCGAACTGAGTTCTCCTTTGTTCTGCCTCCATAAATTTTATTTAATTGCATTGAAAAATGCTCTATTGTGTTTTATATATATAAGTGCAGTGTGACTAGTACATTGTTTATCATATGCATTAAAATCATAAAATAGATAACATGTATTAAACACATTACAAACTTGTTAATTTTGTAAATGCCTAATGTGTATTACATCATTCAACCCTGACAGCAATTCTATCTTGTAAGTTTTATTCTTAGGAGCATAGTACAGGTGAAAAATTGTGACACAGAGTGGTAAAGTGACCTGGATAAGTTTACAGAGCAAGTAAGGATGAGGATGAAATTTAGACCCTGGCTGTGTACTGCAAAGCCTATGTTATTGGAAATTAAACCATGTTTTTCTACTACTATTGCACAATACTTTAGCTGTTATAAGAGAACATTAAAAAATAAAATTTTAAACCCCATGATTTTCCTGTCTTGGAAAAGTCTACAAATAGATATTTCCATTATGTGAGTAGCATTCAATAAGTCAAGATGGTAACAATAGAAGACACATGTTTTAGAGACCAAGTCCAGTTTGGGATTTGCTGAATTTAACTTTAGAAATAAATTTCTGGGGAGAGGGTCTAGAGGACATTATATATAGTGATTGTGGTGTGATAGAGGGCTTGAGTTACAGGTATGCACCATGAATATGGAGAAAATTCCTAGGAGATGCAAGCTGAAAAGGAAAGATGCATTATTAGTTCATAAAACTGGTAACTTTTAAATGAGGGCAGGTCATAATATTAAAACTAGAAATGGGATAGAGAACGGAGAATCGGAGAAATAGGGTGAAAGTAGTAGTACACAATGTCAATAAAATCAAGCCACCACTGTTGACTACGAAAAAAAAAAAAAAAAAAAAAAAAAGATGAAGTAGGTCAAGGTATTTTTCTTTCTTTTTTTTTTTTAATATCATTTTACTTACAATGACTAACTCATGGTTAATTTTTCAGAGACTGTTTCAATAGACTGAAAAAGCATTATAAGGGCTTAACTTATTAGTGGGTGAGGAAGATTAAGTAAAAAGTTTATAATCTGTGTCATTTCCCTCTGAGAGAAAATCTACAGATGGATGAGAATATTAGGATTTTGTAGGAAAGAAAGATAGGAAGTTGAGAGTATTCTTTCAAGATTTTTTTCCTGGTAAAGTAGAGGCATGTTGAAAGTCCTCTACTGAAGAAAGAATATCATCCCTCTAGCTTTTGCCACTCACATTTCAAATGCAAACAAGTAACAGTAAATCAATAGCATAATAATTAATATAAGAATAAAACCATTATTTTATGATTTCAAAAGAGAAGAAAAAAGGGATATAAAGAGAGATGGCAAAGAAAGAAGGAGAAATAAAAAAAAAAAGATGTGGAGACTTGAAAGGGAGCTGGGCTGAGAAGGAAAATGTAGCTATCAAAGAATTTGCAGAGTTTGCTGTGAGCAGCTTAGGCAGTGATGAAAGCCCTTACAGGATTAAGAGCATTGATTAAGTGAGAAAATGGCAACATATCTTAATAAGAAATAGGGATAAAGAGAAAATTTTCTATCAATAAAAAGATGCAAATAAAAGTTTAAATATATGTATGACTTTTCAGCCAGAAGACACAGATTCCATCTATCTTACTCTGAGTCATTTCAGAGTTAGAGAAATACCAGAAACATTTAGAGGTCGTCTATTTTCACTTCTATGTCTCCAGACAGAGAAGAGTTATCCTGCCTACCTAGTGAGTGGTTACAATAATAATATTCTATCCCATTTATTTTCTCACTTTCAAAATACATTCCTTGCATATTATAATGTGGATATGAGTAAGAGGCAAATGTGCAAGCCATGAGGAATAAAATAGGTAAAAGCACATCATGATTCACACCCAAGAAATGGAAATGCTGTATCATCAGAGCTCACAAGCCTAGCACAGATTTGGAACTTAATTAAAGTCTTCTCAATACATGTTGAATAAATGCATGTGTGAATGGATAAAAAGAGATGAAATGCAGTAGGAATTACACAGAATAGTATTTAGTGCAGCTACTGTCCATTTATTTTCTTCTCAATAGCACTTACCTCCAGTTCAGTGGATCAGAGAAGTGTCATCTGATTTCCTCCACTAAACTACATGACACGTGGCTCTTTCAGCTCTTATTGAATGAAATAAAGGCATGTCATCCTAGGGTTTATGACAGAGACAGAAAAGAGGTGGGCTGGGCAATGATCCTGATGAGACTCTGATTCCCTCTGCTCGTATTCCTCACATAGTTGCACACAAAGTTGTTGACTATTATCAGCATCTGTCTTTACAACAGTCTCCAAAATACCTTCCAAGTACAATCATTACCTTATCTTACTGTAGAGCTTAATTGTTACAAAGTGCTGTCAAATCCACATGATACAATGTAAGGTGAGGAAGGTAGAAAAACTAGTGCTTCGAATGATGAGAGAAGAGATGAGAGGTAGCAAGGATTAAGCAAAATGATGAACATGGCTTTACACGATTAAACAAAATGACAAAGCTAGTACTAGAACCACAGGTCAATCTCGGGTTCATCTGCCCCTCAAAACTGACACGATGAGGGGATTTAACAAATAGCTAAGACTGAGAGCTCAGTGTGTGGCTCAGGTTCCCTGTGCTTAGCGATCTCTGTGTTCTGACTGTTGTCTAAGGGCTTCTGCTTGCAATGCATACCTGAGCCCTGGCAATTGAAGAGAAAAGGGCTTGGAGGACACACTTCCATCCAGAGCTCAGGTTTGATGGTAGCTCAGCTCCAAGAATATCCCCTGTTTAGAATCAAGGTCTTTTTGAAGAGCTCAGAAGCTTCTCTTCAGGAGCCTTTCCCAAGTCTGAGAATTCCCTGAAGAGTTCTTATGGCTCTTTTCTGAGGATAGAGATCATGAGAGGCTGGGAAACTCCAGTACTTGGATAATGTAATGAGGTACAAAGATCAAGTGTTAAAAGGGGAATCTATCATGTCCGTGATCTGTGGGCAAGGAATACTAAAAGGTTTTTATTGTAACAGAAACTTTGGGAAAGCTTTGAAGTTGTAACCAGGGCCATTGTCTGCTTTAATTTTTTTGTGGAATGCCCATAACAGCAAAGCAAGATAACAAATATTTTTTAACATGAGTTGTGTTTTTTCTTGTTTGGCACATAGCCCAGGTGAAATGAGAGAAAGTATCAACAGTAACATGTGAGAGACTTATAATTTTTGTAAAACAGCAGATTAGTGGTTTAAGAAAACCTGTTGTGATTTATTTTAATGTCTAGTTTACAAAACACTAGATGATACTTTTAACTAATATGTTTACAAATTTTTTTTTTTACAATTAATGTTTTAAAACTTGTTTAAACCTTGAAACCAAAATTTATACAACCTATTTACATAAATGCCCTTCTATGACATTTTTACAACTTTCACTGACAAACTTAGACATGCTAAACTTTGTTTGGTTTATAACCTTCCTTACTAAGGGTGCAATCTTACAGCTTTTAAAATATTTATTTACCCTTTTATGTGTTTTTTTGTATCTTACTTTCTGGGCCTCTCTTTCTCTTTGCCTTCCTTACCTCTTTCTCTCTTTCTCTTTCTTTCACACACATTCTCTTTCTATCTTTTGACATACCTTAACCCTTTTTGTAACATTTTTCTGGCCAGAGCAGGATTTTGTCTTGGGCTGGTGGTCTTTTACCCTACTGGTACAGATGTTGCACTTTTTTGCCTGCAAGGTTTTTGGCATGAGGCCTTGAACCATCTTGCTGCTGTTGACGTTTACGATATTAAGCAGGTTTTGCAACTTATCAGTTAATTAGGAAATTCTTTTGTACTGAGAAGCAAAGCTATATGGCTTGCTTCTAATTGTTCCTTACTAATTTGTGAGCTATCTGTAATTTCTTTCCCTTTAGAGGTTACCACTTTACTTAAATCAGATTTTAAAAGAGCCACGTTTAAAGGTCTTACAAATACTTAAATTTTACTTAAATTTTAGTAGAAAATTACAATTTAGGATGTTGCTTGTTTGCAAAGAACACACAAAACTTCAATGTGGAACACCTGCAGAAAGCCGCATGTAGGTATGCGGACCTGGCCCTGTCCAGTGGCTGCTTGTTGTTCGTCTTTGTGCTGCTCGCTCCTCCTGCCTGGGCAATGTTTGCTGGCCTTGGGCTGACTTAAAGGCTGCTGCTGGAGGAGCAAGTTTTACTTCTGAAATGGCCTCTGATTCCTCTAAAGGAGGAACGTCAGGTGGATCTGGCCACTCTTTGATAAAATATGGAGGAGGGTCTGACAGACTCCTTCTTTTTCCTCATCTATTTTTTCTTTTTTCTTAGCTGGGTTATCTTTAATTTTCTCATCCCTTTTTGCTCAGCTATTTCTTTATAAAGCAATGAAAGACAAAGCAACAGAAGAACGGAGTAAGAAAGCACAAACGGATTGAAAACAACTGATAGAGAACTTGAACTTTTCGAGCCTGATGCAGGAAGGCAGAGATAGGACAGTCAGAGTCTGATTAGCAGGCTGAGCCCTACAGCAGGGCAAAGTCTTAGCCTCATTACTGGGCTGATGCCGACAGCCAGGCAGAGAAGGTCCTGGTCATGACGGTGGTTGCATGGGAGGCTCAACAGAACTTTGCCAATTAAGAGCGTGCAACTCACACATAAGATCCTCACAGTCATCAAAAGGTGGTGCTTAAGGTTTAGGAGTAGACGGAGAGACAAAAGAGCTGGGTCTGCTTCCATATCAGCAATGGCTTCCTCTATCTTGGCAGTGTTCTCAGGAGAAAGTACTTCAAGGACGTCTTCAACTTCCTCTAAAGAGAAGAAGGAGGAGTTGGCCTCCAAGGACTCTTCTTGTGTCTGCAAAGACTCAAGGACAGTTCTAACAGAAGACAAGATAGAACAGATTGTAACAGGAAAAACATGCCCTTCCTTTTGAGCCACTTTAAGCTAGCTGCTGACCTTGTCCCAATCCTTAAGTTCTAAGGTTCTGTTAATGGAAAACCAAGGACAGAACTGATCTATCACCTCAAATAACTGAAAGAGTTTATCAGAAGAAACATTAACCCTTCTTTTTTAAATAAGAATTTTAGTAAAATTAAGATAGGCCGAATACTTTGTATTCGGTTGTCCCAGGGTTACCCTGAAATCCTCTGAGTTGCCCAAGCTTACCACAAGCTTATCAATCACAGTCCTCAGGAATTTCTCATCAATAAATCCTCCAATTCCACACTCAAGGCGTACCTTCACACCTCAAAGGAGAAGCCCATGTTGGAAAACACTCACATTGGCGTGCCAGATATAGGGTCCAGACCTATAGGGTTCTCTGAACACCTCCCTGTTGGTCCGGAGATGAGAAACTGTAGAAATAAAAGACTACAGACACAGAGGTAGAGAAAAGAGAGTTTGGGCTCGGGGGTCCACTGCCAACCTGCAGTGGCCCCAAGTGCCTGGACACTCTGACTTTTATTGAATACAAAGCAGTGGGCAGGGAAGGTAGGGTGAGGTAATGGTGGTCCGTGACAGGGTCAGGTAAATCACGTGTCTTGAAGATAAGGGGCCCAAGACTTTCAAATAGCCAAGGTGAGAGGAAAACCTGATGGGTCATCACTCTTTGCATATTTGTCAGAAATATCAAGGATACTAAGATTATGTTACCATTATTAATTCTTGAGAAAAAGAGAAACCAGGTGCAGAAGCAGGGCGTGAAAGTAGACATGGAATGTGACCACTGAAGCACAGCATCACATGGAGACGGTTAAGCCCCTGGATGTCTGCCGCCTTCCCGGACAGCTGCCAGGCCCTGCCACAAGAGCTTGGAGAGGTGGAGTTTTCTCCTCACTCCCCCAAGGAAGGAGACATCTCCGTCACTTTGGACATCTCCTTCCCTAGCTGGCTAAAACGCTGGTGCTTCCACAGCGCTGGCGCTGCTGCACAGTGGAGGTGCCCTCCAGCAGACCTTAATGTGGGTGTGACAGAGGGCTTAGGATCACTTTGTTCACAATGTCACCTCAGTTCCATGCTTCATAACCAGATCGACCATCATTAGTAAAATTAAAGGTTATATTGAGTATATATCTTTATGATTACAAGTGAATAACTATAAGATTATATATGATTATATAAAGGAATAACTATGTGACTACATTTCTAATTCTTTTCTAAATCAATATTTATATGGGAACAGGCTGAGGCTTCAGACCCTTGCTTCAGACAGCACTTAATGGGGTTTCCCTCCTACACTCAATGTCAAAAGTTTGTAAATTTTCTTCAGAACACTGCATATAAAGGTGCTTATACACAGCTTCCTTGATCCCTTAGAGAAATGAATGTGGGAGCTGAACAAATGTGAAGTGACCATATTTTAAGTCATATCTGATGATCAACTGAAATAGCAGTTGTTATGAACAACTCCTGGATGGAGGTGTTCCATTTTGAACAACTCCTGAATGGTCTTCATTAGTGCTCAGTGACACGCAGGCACAGACACACAGATGGAGGCCTACACTGATTCATAATTTGCAGTTTGTGAAAATGACTATTAAACTAAATAGTCATTCTGGTCTGTGTTGGATAAAAGACAACTCCAAATTATGTATCACTTCCCCCATCAAGAGATGGAATTTATTTCTCTTCCTTTGCATCTGAGCTTGTTCCATTCATGTTTAACTAATAGATGCAGTGGAAATTACCTTTTATTTGTTGCAGCTATAGGCCTTAACAAGATGAGAAGTTTCTATCCTGTTTTCTGGCATACTCTCTATTGTTTCTGAAAACAGTTTTTCTCAGAAACCAGCTAACATGCTCATAAAAGCCTAAGCTACATGGAGAAGCATATGTCAGAGCTTTGTTAAACTCAACACTGACAGCAAGCATCAGGTGCGAGCTTTGGGAATGAACCGTATTCAAAATGTATCCTCCATCCCAGTGAAGGTGTCCATTGGTACTTTTTGGAGAATAGACAAGATATCTCTGCTGAGCTCTGCACAAATTACAGAGCTATGACCAAATATATAATTGTTGTTTTGGGTCACTTAGTTTTGGAGTGGTTTACTATTCAGCTATTTTTGAATATGGTTCCTGGTCAAGAAACCTAATTTTCTTTGCA